ACTCCCGGGGGGGGGGAAGAATCAGTTCTTTTCCAAAATGGGAGAAATGGATGCTGGCAACGAAAACAATGGCTGTCTGGGAAAGAGAGGGTTCCTCACTCAGGATCAAAAGCAAAAAGCAAGAATGTATCCATTTTCCATGTCAGAAGGGAGTGGGAACTTCTGGACCAACACCAGAAGAACACAGTACAGTTTGAGAGACTCGGTCACCATCCCGGTGTTTTCATCATCCCCCGTGGTTTCTTTTGTCGTTGGAAGGCCAATCAGGAAGGGGGAAGAGATGGGGAAACCAAATCCTGATTTGGTGACCAGGCCTGAAGAGAGGAGATCCGCCGAGAGAGTGAGCGGAGACAACTGAAGAAGGCCAAGTTCTTGCAGGGAAGGGACAAGGGGTGCAGGCCTGGGGGTGCGAGGCCAGGTTTCCTGATATCTTCCCCACCAGCTCTGTCCTCAACTGTATAAGCCAGGCTCTCTCAACCTCAGGCCGGGACCTGAGGACATTTGGGGCTGGATAAATTTTTGCAGGGGAGGCAGTCCTGTGCATTGGGGGGCGCTTAGCAGCATCCCTGGCCTCTACCCACTGGGTGCCAGTTACAACTGCCTCCCCAGCTGTGGTTGCCAAAAATGTCTCCTGGGGTCAGAATCACCCCTGGTTGAGAACCACTGGCCTAGGGGCTATTTGGGGAGCTGGGGAGAAGGCTGGTGGTCAGGACTCCAGAAGCACATTACAACTCATCATCCGTTGGCTGCTCTGTGACCTCGAGAGGCTGAATGGGATGTGCTCTGTTGTTTGCTGGGAAGTCTCTTGACTGTGTTTGCCATTGATGAGAGGTCTTGGGGAAACCCACTGGGGGGCCCCTCCACTGTGAAGGGGTTTGGTGGCACTTCCTTCTGAGACATCTTGTCCATAAATTTTGATTCCAGCATGCTTATACAGGACCTTGTGATAAGCTGCTGTGGTATATTGAGATATGCCATCAGTAAGCGAGCAGTTTTAAAATTGCATGAGATAAATATTTCAGTGTGTTGTTTTCTTTTAAATGAGTCAGTTTCAAAGACTCATTGAGTCACTTAAATAAATAACTGCACAGGTGGTGTGTAAACAAGGTGGTGTGTAAAATAGCTGAGGTGGTACTCCACGACTGACCTGAGAGGGCCGCGAATAGTGGCTGGACGATGGGCCTGATTGCCAATGTCTGGGGTGCATCGTCACCCCTTGTTTGTTGAGTGGGGTACGTTTTGCCAGTCGTCTTCCGTTCCAAGCCTGCCTTCTCTCATCTGTGGGCAAAGGTGACAGTCCCTATAGCACCAGGCTCCTCCGTAGGCAGCATCAGTAATTTATCCCAGTCGATGGCCTGCCTCATGGCCAAGGCACAATCAGAGTTGCTCATGGGATCACATAAAGGAGCAGAGAGAGAGGTGGTCGATACTGCATTTACTTAAGGAAACCCCAGGGACATGCAGGAGCTGCCTGAAGGTGGCTGGTTACAGCCCCACATGTGGGCGGAGCTAAGGCAGGCGGTCTGAGTGTGCACCGCCCCTCTGGGCATCACAGCAAGGCTGTGCGGGCGGGGCTTCCTGAAAGCAGGCTCCCTTCAAAACCAGGGAGCAGGCGGGAGTGGCATAGAGTCCTGATGAATGAGCCTCTCGTTCATTCGGTATTTACTAAGCAACTTTTTTGTGCAGTACTGTGTGCCAGTTAGTACTTGAGTCTACACCAGTGGTGCTGAGCTCAGCGACTTCGTACCCCCCACTCCCCCCCCCCCCCCCCCCCCCCGCCAAGGGGACATTTGGCAGTGTCTAAAAGATCTTTTGGATCGTCACAATTGGGGAAGCGAGTTTGCTACGGGAACCTAGTGGGTAGAGACCAGGGATGCTGGTAAACATCCTAAGTGCACAGGATGACCTCCACAACAAAGAATGATCAGGCCCCAAATGTCGGTGATTCTAGGTTGAGAAACCCCTGTCTTTGCTGAGGAACACGACGATGTGCCTGGCCTTTTGCATCTCGCAGCGGAGACAGACAGGAAGGGAGGCGAGGAGGAAGGGACAGGAGAGACAAACAGGTCAAAAAAAGAAAAAAAGGCCAGACAGGATTAGAGCTAAAAAGAAACAGACAAGAGACTCTAAGTGATAGAAATGGGAGTGTGACCTTGGCCAAGGTCGGCCTGGATGACCTTAGAGCTAAGACCAGCTGGAGGGAGGGGCAGTTTTCTGTGCAAGGATGGGAGTGTTGGAGCAGAGGGGACGAAGAGGCAGCAGGAGACTGGAGTTTAGCCCATCTGTGGAGATGCTGTGTGGAGTCCCAACTTGTCTGGGGAACAGAGAGAGTAGCAAGGAGAATCCTGCAGAAACCCCGGGGGAGATGGACTGCGGAGGTGTGGGAGGATGGCTTCTTGGAGGTCTTTGGAGGAGGGTAGTAGGGGAGAGTGGAAGCCAGGAAGGCCGTCCACTTTGGATAGACTACCTTTGAAATGAAGGGATGCTTCTAGGGGCTTGGTGGTGTGACCTTGGGCAAGTGACCTAACATCCTGCATCTCTGGCATGAGAACTGGATGTGCCGACTGCCAGCTTAGAGCGAGTCGTCGGTGAATGTGCGCTATTACCATTAAGAAGTTGAAACAGTGATGTGGGCCATTCTCTCAACATGTGCAAGTACATGGACCATGGCTGTCTCTTTAGAGTTTCTTTTTATTCCCTTATTTTTGAAGAGGACAGACCTGGCACAGAACAGAAAATTCAAAGAATCTACGAATATACAGAGAGAGTGGGTCTCCTCCCAGCCTGCCCTCCAGCCATGAGTGCAAATGGGAACTGAAATCCCTGCCCCGCCCCACCCCACAGCATCCCCCATTCCCCGCTGCCTGGAAAAAGTGCATTTTCCTGATGTGTCCAGAGGCACCATATGGGCTAGCAGGTTTGAAGTGAGGTGGGTCTTAAAGAAGTGAGGAGAGTGGGAGTCTTAAAATGAATTGATCTTTTTTCTCCTCTGACCATCTCCTCATCCCTACTTTGCCGGAATGTCTGTGGTGTCAGAGAGAAAGATGAGAACCCGCCAGGTACTCGCCTTCCTCTTGCTCTTTGTGATCGCCTCCGGGGCCTCTGAGAACGCCAGCACGTCCCGGGGCTGTGGGCTGGACCTCCTCCCTCAGTACGTGTCCCTGTGCGACCTGGACACCATCTGGGGCATCGTGGTGGAGGCAGTGGCCGGGGCGGGCGCCCTGATCACGCTGCTCCTGATGCTTATCCTGCTGGTGCGGCTGCCATTTGTTAAGGACAAGGAGAAGAAGGACCCTGTGGGCCTCCACTTCCTCTTCCTCATGGGCACCCTGGGCCTCTTTGGGCTGACGTTCGCCTTCATCATCCGGGAGGATGAGACCATCTGCTCAGTCCGCCGGTTCCTCTGGGGCGTCCTCTTCGCGCTCTGCTTCTCTTGCCTGCTGAGCCAGGCGTGGCGCGTGCGGAGCCTGGTGCGCCACGGCAAGAGCCCTTCGGGCTGGCAGCTGGTGGGTCTGGCGCTGTGCCTGATGCTGGTGCAGGTCATCATCGCCATCGAGTGGCTGGTGCTGACCGTGTTGCGGGACGCGAAGCCAGCCTGCACCTACGAGTCCATGGACTTTGTGATGGCCCTCATCTACGACATGATTCTGCTTGTGGCCACCCTGGGGCTGGCCCTCTTCACGCTGTGCGGCAAGTTCAAGAAGTGGAAGCAGAATGGAGCCTGCATCCTGGTCACAGCCTTCCTCTCTGTGCTCATCTGGGTGGCCTGGATGACCATGTACCTCTTTGGCAACACCAGGCTGCAGCAGGGAGAAGCCTGGGGTGACCCCACCTTGGCCATTACACTGGTGGCCAGTGGCTGGGTCTTCGTCATCTTCCACGCCATCCCTGAGATCCATTGCACCTCACATGTGGGCGGAGCTAAGGCAGGCGGTCTGAGTGTGCACCGCCCCTCTGGGCATCACAGCAAGGCTGTGCGGGCGGGGCTTCCTGAAAGCAGGCTCCCTTCAAAACCAGGGAGCAGGCGGGAGTGGCATAGAGTCCTGATGAATGAGCCTCTCGTTCATTCGGTATTTACTAAGCAACTTTTTTGTGCAGTACTGTGTGCCAGTTAGTACTTGAGTCTACACCAGTGGTGCTGAGCTCAGCGACTTCGTACCCCCCACTCCCCCCCCCCCCCCCCCCCCCCGCCAAGGGGACATTTGGCAGTGTCTAAAAGATCTTTTGGATCGTCACAATTGGGGAAGCGAGTTTGCTACGGGAACCTAGTGGGTAGAGACCAGGGATGCTGGTAAACATCCTAAGTGCACAGGATGACCTCCACAACAAAGAATGATCAGGCCCCAAATGTCGGTGATTCTAGGTTGAGAAACCCCTGTCTTTGCTGAGGAACACGACGATGTGCCTGGCCTTTTGCATCTCGCAGCGGAGACAGACAGGAAGGGAGGCGAGGAGGAAGGGACAGGAGAGACAAACAGGTCAAAAAAAGAAAAAAAGGCCAGACAGGATTAGAGCTAAAAAGAAACAGACAAGAGACTCTAAGTGATAGAAATGGGAGTGTGACCTTGGCCAAGGTCGGCCTGGATGACCTTAGAGCTAAGACCAGCTGGAGGGAGGGGCAGTTTTCTGTGCAAGGATGGGAGTGTTGGAGCAGAGGGGACGAAGAGGCAGCAGGAGACTGGAGTTTAGCCCATCTGTGGAGATGCTGTGTGGAGTCCCAACTTGTCTGGGGAACAGAGAGAGTAGCAAGGAGAATCCTGCAGAAACCCCGGGGGAGATGGACTGCGGAGGTGTGGGAGGATGGCTTCTTGGAGGTCTTTGGAGGAGGGTAGTAGGGGAGAGTGGAAGCCAGGAAGGCCGTCCACTTTGGATAGACTACCTTTGAAATGAAGGGATGCTTCTAGGGGCTTGGTGGTGTGACCTTGGGCAAGTGACCTAACATCCTGCATCTCTGGCATGAGAACTGGATGTGCCGACTGCCAGCTTAGAGCGAGTCGTCGGTGAATGTGCGCTATTACCATTAAGAAGTTGAAACAGTGATGTGGGCCATTCTCTCAACATGTGCAAGTACATGGACCATGGCTGTCTCTTTAGAGTTTCTTTTTATTCCCTTATTTTTGAAGAGGACAGACCTGGCACAGAACAGAAAATTCAAAGAATCTACGAATATACAGAGAGAGTGGGTCTCCTCCCAGCCTGCCCTCCAGCCATGAGTGCAAATGGGAACTGAAATCCCTGCCCCGCCCCACCCCACAGCATCCCCCATTCCCCGCTGCCTGGAAAAAGTGCATTTTCCTGATGTGTCCAGAGGCACCATATGGGCTAGCAGGTTTGAAGTGAGGTGGGTCTTAAAGAAGTGAGGAGAGTGGGAGTCTTAAAATGAATTGATCTTTTTTCTCCTCTGACCATCTCCTCATCCCTACTTTGCCGGAATGTCTGTGGTGTCAGAGAGAAAGATGAGAACCCGCCAGGTACTCGCCTTCCTCTTGCTCTTTGTGATCGCCTCCGGGGCCTCTGAGAACGCCAGCACGTCCCGGGGCTGTGGGCTGGACCTCCTCCCTCAGTACGTGTCCCTGTGCGACCTGGACACCATCTGGGGCATCGTGGTGGAGGCAGTGGCCGGGGCGGGCGCCCTGATCACGCTGCTCCTGATGCTTATCCTGCTGGTGCGGCTGCCATTTGTTAAGGACAAGGAGAAGAAGGACCCTGTGGGCCTCCACTTCCTCTTCCTCATGGGCACCCTGGGCCTCTTTGGGCTGACGTTCGCCTTCATCATCCGGGAGGATGAGACCATCTGCTCAGTCCGCCGGTTCCTCTGGGGCGTCCTCTTCGCGCTCTGCTTCTCTTGCCTGCTGAGCCAGGCGTGGCGCGTGCGGAGCCTGGTGCGCCACGGCAAGAGCCCTTCGGGCTGGCAGCTGGTGGGTCTGGCGCTGTGCCTGATGCTGGTGCAGGTCATCATCGCCATCGAGTGGCTGGTGCTGACCGTGTTGCGGGACGCGAAGCCAGCCTGCACCTACGAGTCCATGGACTTTGTGATGGCCCTCATCTACGACATGATTCTGCTCGTGGCCACCCTGGGGCTGGCCCTCTTCACGCTGTGCGGCAAGTTCAAGAAGTGGAAGCAGAATGGAGCCTGCATCCTGGTCACAGCCTTCCTCTCTGTGCTCATCTGGGTGGCCTGGATGACCATGTACCTCTTTGGCAACACCAGGCTGCAGCAGGGAGAAGCCTGGGGTGACCCCACCTTGGCCATTACACTGGTGGCCAGTGGCTGGGTCTTCGTCATCTTCCACGCCATCCCTGAGATCCATTGCACCATTCTGCCGGCCCCGCAGGAGAACACACCCAACTACTTTGACACATCCCAGCCGAGGATGCGGGAGACGGCGTTTGAGGAGGATGTGCAGCTACCGCGGACCTATATGGAGAACAAGGCCTTCTCGATGGATGAACACAATGCAGGTAAAGTGGTCACTACCCCCTGGGTTAGGCTTTGGGGCCATTTGTCTCAAAGAAACCCTTCCTTCTCTCCAGTTGAGATGGCTGGTCCTGGGGCAGTCCCACAGATCAGAGCCCACAAATGCTGGCCTCTGTGCTACAGCTGGCCCAGAGATGGATTTTTATTTAGCAGTTTTATCTATGGCCAGCTAATTGAAAAATCCATGTTTCTCACCCCTCACGGGGTTATGGCTGCTCCTTTAGTGGGGGGATCTACTTTTTTGGTTTACCATACTCCCCACCACTACCTATTGCTTCCTGGCCTAGCTACTATAATATATTAACAACACTTGATCCTCACTGGGAGCTCAGAGGGCCTTCCAAGGGATGTGATGAGCAGAGGCCAGGAGGCTAGCTAGTTCCTGGGTCCTGGTGGAGCCACCTCTTCCCTGGCTCCTGGAATGCAGTTAATCTCATTTAATCCCATACAGTAACCCAACAAGGTCCATTTTTGCAGACAGGAAACTAAGGCACAGATAAGTTAAGCAACTTGCCCAGGATGCAAAGCCAGAGTTTGAACCCAGGCAGGCAGGCTTTAGAGCTTGTCCACTCTGCCCCAGAATTATTCTCTTCTTAAAGCATTTCAGTGTCCTGCACCTCACTTACTGTCAGGACAACTCTGTGCATTGGGAAGATGGGGATGGCTCATGCCATTCTATAGAGCAGGAAACTGAGGTCCAGAGGGGTCAGGCTCCTGGTTCAAGCCCACACTAAGTGCACAGAAGAGCAGGGAGCGGGAGAGTTGATTTTCTGAGTCCCATTACACGCATCCTTTTTGTTAACATGCAGCCAATGCTTCATATCCACAAGATCCAGAGATCAAAGGGGGCTGGGACCCTGGTCAGCACCAGCAGTACCAGGGCTGACACAGTGGGTGGGGGGGCATCTAGAGGAGCCCCACACCCCCATCTGTTTCACAGTCTGACCCATTCCACAGCCAAGAGGTTGTCTTTCTGTCCTCACTTTTTCTTCCAAAAAAAAAAACAGCTTTACCATTTCTCTCTGATGACAACAGATCACCAGTAATCATGTAGAAGGGTCAGCAAGTAAAAATAACAAACGTCGCTTGAAATCCCATTGCCCAAAGGCCACTACCACTGCCTGGTTGGTCCCATCTTGCCGGACATCTCCCAGCGCACATACAGAGTCTCTGCGCCTCTCAGATTCTCTCTCTTACTCTCCCTCCATCTCTCACACACACACACACGCACACACACAGGCACCTGCACGCTCATACACAACAATCCCATAGAACAAACAGTTCTTAACCTGGCTTCACATGAGATCACTTGGAGAGCTTAAAAAAATTACAAATACCTGCCCCCTCATTCTGATTGAAGTCTGTTTAGGCTGAGGTGTTTTTTAAGCTCTCCCAGCGATTCTAAGATGCAGCCAGGTTGAGAGCACTGGCCTAAGTGGTGTTCTGCAGTGTGCTTTGCCTCAGTCAATACTGTGTTGTGTGGATGGAGGCCTTTCCGGGCCAGTGACTGCAGAGCTACCGTATCCTTTTCATGATGCACGGTTTTCCATTAGGCACCATAATGTATTTTATTTTTTTATTGTCAGTATTCAATAGCACCAAAATTTGTTTTTCTGATTTTTAGCTGGTGAATATTCTGCTTGTTTCCGGCTTTCCATGAAAGTAATGCTGTGATGAACATTCTTACCCATTCATCCTTGGGCCCTTGATCAATTAACTCCTTGCAAAAAAAAAAAAAAAAAAATTCCTAGACATGCATCAAGGAGTCTACCCCTTTAAATACTGATATATGCCCCCACTTGAAAGGTAGATCCATTCACTGTCCCCTCCTTAATTGTATGACAGCCCTATTTCTCTGCTTCTTTACCAATCTAGGATGTTGTCAAACTTCTTTTAATAGCCCTGTTTTGGATCATCTTGAATGTGTATCCACCAAGATTCACATGGGACCAGACAGGGTGGGCTCTAGGCAAAGCCATTTCCCTCAGAAAGCTCACAGGCCAAACTGGGAGTCCTGGCCAGGGTTACCTTTGTTCTGAAAACCCTGGCTTTGCTGGTTGGGGAACCCCTGAGCACACGTCCTTGTCATGGGGAGGACAGCTGGTGTGGTGTTTGTTACTGCTGTCAGCCAGTTTGTATTTTAGGGAACTGGGACCCCAAGGGCCTTGCCCAGAAGCAGCATTTGGCCTTGTTTCTTTTACATATTAGCCAGTCTGCCTTTGGGGCTATCTCACCCTGAGAGTCTGTCCCTGACATCTTCAAGAGAAAGGAAGGGCATTCCCCAGGCTGACATGTGGTTCAGCCAAGCCCCAGTGGCCTCCACACCTTTATTTCCTTCCACAACCTAAGACCCTAGGTCTGTACAACTTCCTCAGCCTCCCACTTATTAGCAAGTATGAACAAGACATGAGGTATGTGATAAAAGACTGAAATACACTGAAGGATGTAGCGCCTCAGATCACATCTTGGAAAGCGTTAACAAGGCTCATTACATGTTCACCTTTCAAAGGTGCAGTAAAGTGTTCTTTCTTCTGTTAGGGGATTTGGACTCTCTGATCTCATTAGGGCCAAAAGCTATTTAAATTCTGACCCTTAGTTTCCAAGGGGAAGGCCCTGAGTCAGCTTTGGGGGCAGGGCCAATCTAGCCTTATTTGCAGAGTCTACATAAGAAAAGGCTGGAATTCAGCCCATGAATTTTGATTCCTGTGGGGAACCCCCTTATGGCAGAGCCCTGCTGCCCTTTCATGGATGACCCTTATCAGAGTAGGATGTTAGTCGGGATTCTTGAAGTTGCAAGTAATAAAAACTCTGATTGAAAACAACATCCAAAAAAACCAACTATAGCATGGCAGGCTTCAGGAACAGTTAGATCAAGGAGACTCAAGTGATGACTAGATGTGCTCTTTCACCATCTCTTGGCTCTGTTAGCACCATGGTAGCCCACTGCTCTAGGCTTACACAGAGTCCTATAAAAAAAAAAGATGGGGGGGAGCCATCAGGTGAGAATTTGGGGATCAACAGAGGTGAGGCTCAGAACCTCACCCCCCCTGCTTTGAGAGAAATCTTCTGCATCCGTGGATGTTTTGCTGCCCTTGTCTAGCCTGGATTAATACTTAGTCCATAGGCACACACCTGATCATCTACATTTGCCCTCTTACAGCACTAAACTATGTTTTCTACCTTTATCTTGCATCTACCTACCACTTCAGCATTTTATTAAAAATAAAAATAATAATAATAATAGGAGAAATGTGGGATCAACATATAAATCAAGTACAAAAATCAAATGAATATTCATATTTGACCTGATGGTTTATAGGTCATATTGCATGATCAAAACCGAAAGTTTCTGTGATGAATGCCCTTGTACTGTTCACCATGTAAGAATTTATTCACTATGTAAGAATTCGTTCACCATGTAAGAACTTGTTCGTTATGCTTCAGAAGATTGGAGACTGACGAGAATTAGACTTGAGATGGATTAATGATTGTACATTGAGCATTGACCCCCCTATACTGAATTTTATTGTTGTTAACAACCATTTGATCAATAAATATGAGAGATGCCCTCTCAAAAAAAAAAAAAAGAGAGAGAGAGAAACATTTCCTAGAAGGCTTAAGCAAAAATCCCCAAGTTAGCTCTGATTGGACTTGATTGCCTTTTCCTGAACCAAACAGTGTGGCTGGGGAGATGTTCTGCCCTGATGGCCCAGGCTTAAATCATATGCCCACCTTAAGGCCAGGAGCCTAAAATGTGGGAGGGATGTTACCAGAGGAGAGCCCCAAATAACCTACAGAGAGAGGCTCTAAGGCCAAAGCACCCTACAGATGGCCGGCAGACAAAAGCCTTTGCTTTTCTGAGGAGCCAGAGTCCTCCAGCACCGCTGACCTGGGTCTCTGCATTATAAGGAAAGCTGTGCTGTTTGGTCCTCCCTCTCTTCAAGCAGGTGTATGCTAGGGACTAAGACTGGTAAGAGTCCGTGGACTCTCTCCTGCATGCCCTGGTGCTGCTCCCAGGTGCCCCCTTCTCTGCTTCCGGGGAAAGACATCTCCTTGCTCAGCGTGAGCATGACAAGCTGCTTGAAGCCTTGGCGTTACTGCATCAGAAGAGGTCTTCATAAGTATGTCTTAGAACATGAGCTCCCCACCCTGCCTCAGTTTCTTTGGTTCAGTCTTGGCTGAGTTGCCCCCAATGTCACGTAAATTCAAGTCGCTTCCAAGTGTGATGGTTAAAAACAGTATCTGGAGCCAGTAGAGTGTGATGGCTCTGTCATAGTCTCTGCCTGGGTTTGAATGCTCTTTCTGCCACTTAACCAGCTGTGTAGCCTTGGGCAAATTACTTAATCTCTCTGTGCCCCCCATACATGGAAATAATAGAACACCTATCATACTATGCAAATTAAATGAGTTAACATATACCAAGTACTGTTCAAGTACCTGGCTCCTGGTTAGCACTTAATGGTTAACTATATTACTATGGTGATTTTGGTCCCTGCCCCAAGTAATTTTTAAAAATCCAAAACTCTCCTGCTACTTTTTAGCCAGAAAAATGACATCCTTCAGGCTTTTCCAACAAAGCACAATTAGTGCCTTCAATGAGAATAAAGATAATGAAAATACTGTCTCACAGTTGAGACAGACTTTTGTATTAGTTTGGTTTTATAGTGCTTCTAGTTTCTCTCTTATTTTTTAATAAACTATATTTTAGAGCACGTTTAGGTTTACAGAAAATTTGAGAAGGAAGTACAAGGAGTTCCCACATGGTCCTTTCCCCAGTTTCCCCTTTTATTAATTAACTACTTGTATTATTGGCATATTTGTTGCAGTTGGTCGAATCAATATTGATATATTATTATTAACTGATGTCTGTAATTTACATTTTAGAGGTCACTTGCTGTTTGTACGTTCTGTGGCTTGGGACAAATGTGGGAATGTCGTGTATCCACCATGAAAGTGTCAAACAGAATAGTGTCACTGCCCTAAAAAAATTTCCTGTCCTCCACCCATTCATCACTGCCCTCCCACCCCTGAGAACCACTGATCTTTTTACTGTCTCCATAGTTTTGCATACCAGAATATCATAGTTGGAATCACACAGTCTGTAGCTTTTACAGACTAGCGTCTTTCACTTTGTGACACATATCTGAGTTTCCTCCATGTCTTTTTGTGTAATTTGTTTTTTCTTTACAAAAAAAGGGGAAATTTAGATATCTAAAAATACACAGCAAATAAGAACCCCATTTGCCCACCTTTCAGAGGTAAAAACTGCTGGCGTGTTTTGCCGTCTTTGTTTTAGGTTTCCCTGTTTAGAAATAACCCTACCCCTGTGCTTGGAGTCTGTTCTCCTCCCTGTCACTCTCTGTCATGTACTTATGTCCACCTTCTTAGGGTTGTCCACCTCTGTGTATCCAGTAATAGCAAACAGTGTGATGTTGAACTTGACACAAATGGCGTTTGTGGCAAGGAGGTCTTTTATCACAGGAGACCTTCAGAGGGATGCACAGGGACCCTCATTGCCCTGCAGGGGTTCGGGGTGGCCAGATGCGTTGCGCTAGGCTCCCTCTGCCTGTGTGCCTGGATTCTCCCAACTTCCCAACCCCACTGAGCCGGGTCAAGCTCCAAAGGAGCCAGAGAACAAAGCCCCTTTGTGACTTTTGTTTTGCATCAGGCTTGTGACAAAAGGGGAGGACTGGGGAGGGGGTGGTGCGGGGGTTGTGTGCCGGGAGCAGTGTTGATGCAGAGGAAGAAAACAAAATTGTGTCTTTTTTTCCTTTTTGGTGGTTTTGTGTTGCCGCCCCTCCCACCGTAGCTCTGAGAACGGCAGGATTTCGCAATGGCAGCTTGGGAAACAGACCCAGCGCTCCGTTCAGAAGCAATGTGTATCAGCCAACTGAGATGGCTGTTGTACTCAACGGTGGGACTGTAAGTATCAAGAGGTGATGTTTGGCAGGAAGAGCGGCCGGAGTTGGGGGCAGCTTCAACCAGGGACACACCGCTCTGTGGAGGCTGCAAACGGGGACTGCAAAGACACCCCTTGCAGCTAGAATGCATGTGACGCTTCCATTTTTCTTTCCCTCTCTGCCCTCTTTCTCCACGCACAGAAGACCCCACTGTGTGTAGTTAACCATCCGTAGATTTGTTTGAGAGGCCCTATTTCTTGGGCTCTTAGACCCAGTGAATTCTCTGGCTTTCATTCTACAGAAGGTACATATGGGAGGTGACTTGTAGGAAAAGCCCAGAGTTTCGAAAGCCTGGCAGATTTTACTGACATCCAGCCCCCTCTCTCCTCTCCCCTTTTTCTGTGCCCCAGCAGGGGACCAGGTCCCCCCCACCCCCCCGCCCCACTCCTTAAGAGACTCTTAAGAAGCAATTATCTTTTCTCTCCCACCAACACAAAAAAGACCAGGTTTACTATCTGATGCCAAACAGACCTTCAGCAGAATTGCTGCTGTTTACATTTTGCCTCTGTGGAATTGCATCATTTTGTTTCTCCACCAATCCAAAGACACTCTCATTCCCACATTTAATTTCTAGACATAGCTACATGCTTCTTTCAGAATCAGCTGCATGAGCCAGTTTACATATGTAAATTGAGTTTCCATTCTTCTATCATGTGCCAGTTCCATACTCAACAGGAGCTTTTTTTGTTTTTTTTAAGTAATGTAAGTCAGGGATGGTCTTTGATCTCTAGAGGGAACTTCAGTTTTTCTGGCCTTTGAATGGTATGCTAGCCTTGGTGTTTGCATGGGTTTAGAACAGGCTCAAAGACAAATAGACACACACACTCACACAGACTCACAGATTTGCTTTCAGAAGACCCCCTGCCATCCATTGGGCTGTTTTATTGTTGGGTGCCAAGAAAAGCCTGACTCCAAGCATTCAGCTTGGGCATTATAATAAATATGGTTAAAAAATAGCCCTATTGGTTACTTTTAAGCCCTCCTGGCTCCTTCAAGCCCACTGTGCATAAAAACACCCTGGACCCAGACAGTGAAGTGGGTTTCTGGGTAAAGGAACATTCATTTGGGGTACATGGTTCCAGAAAAAAAGAGATGGCCTTGCCTTCCCAAGAACAGAGCGGCATAACACACAGTGGTTGCTGTTTTTCTAACTCTTCAGCCTGTTAGGAAAAATCAAGGTAACTTATCTTTGGCACGGTGTTAACAAATTGGTTTCTGACATTGACTTTGCAAAGCACAGACTTCTCAGTGTGTTATTCTTGTTTCCAGATCCCAACCGCTCCGCCAAGTTACACTGGAAGACACCTCTGGTGAAAGACTTTAAGTTCCAGAGAATAAGAATCTCTCTTACTGATTTTATTCCCTGGCTGTGTCTTTCTTGAGGGAGAAATCAGTTAACAGTAGCTGAACAAGGCCGCCTCACAGCCAGGGGATTTGAAAATCCTAGACAATGGGATTTTGTGTACATGTGAACACTGCTGAACCGAAAAGCTAACACCAACTGCCCTCCGCTCCCCTGCCACACACACACACACACAACCACGTAATACCAAACCAACCTCAGTCCCTGCAGACTAAAGCAAAGCTAATTGCAAATAGTATTAGGCTCACTCCAAAAGGTGGCTGGGAAGACTTGTTTTGTCCTTTGGGGGTGGAACAGAACCCGATTTGCAGCTGGTGGGCCGGGCTGGTGTTGGAGGAAAATGGAGGTCCCCCACTGTAGCCCTTCCCCAGGAAGTGCTGGGCCCCTTGGTTCAGTAAGGTGGCCTCTCGGAGGAGGCCAAATGGGGACTTTTCCACTGGCTTGCCTGTTGATTTGCACATTTCAAGGGGGGCTCAGGAACAGTTAAGGGGATTGTAGTTGTGATTCCAAGGTGAGGCCCCACTGAGTTGTGGGGTGAGCTTTATAACCAGTAGTGGTAGAGGGGCCCTGGCATGTGCCAAAGAAGAGAAGGCTATCTGGGAACTGAAGTGACCATCACATTTAGAAAGTGGTGACCAACCACTGTTCTTTCTATGGGCTTCTGGCTCTGGGCCTCGGGCGGGAAAGCAAGGCTGCCTGCCCCCAGGAACTTGGAGCAGCTCTCCTCTTCCCTTGCCCTCCCCTCCCGATTCCAGTGCTCCTCCAGGCCCTTTTCCCAGTCTTACTCCCATGTTCATTTCGAAAGCTCTAATGGGGCCACCACAGCTTAAAGCCCCCTGGGTTGGCAGGCTGGAAAGCAGGTGCCAAGCAGAGTTTCCATGATGATGGCACATGGCAGGGCACCCCAGCAGGGCCCTCCAGGCTGGAGAGATGACACTCTGATGCCTGGTGTGTGGTGGGTAGTCAAAGTCCCCGGGGTGGGGGGTGGGAGCAGCGTGGCATGCACACGCGAGGGTTTTTTGCTGCTCCTGGAGGGTGTGTGGGACATTTGTGACCTAGTTTTCTGCAAGCTCCATGGAAATGGTTTTCTTCCAAGCCCATTGTCTCTGTCACGGTTTCCATCATCGTTTCCAAAAATCATACCTTTGTTATTGTTATTTGGCATTTCAAACATCTTGGCCATTAAAAGCCCCATGTTCTCTGCACTGTTTGGCCAGCATAATCGATAGCAATGAATTCCAAGCAAAGAGTTAACCTGACGGCATGGAATGTAGAAATGAGGGTGGATCTTTTTGCATATACTCTAATCACAATATCGCTTTTTTCTATCAAACAACCCATAAGCCTTTATCCTTTAAAGAGAATGAAAAAGGTTAGTGTTTGGGGGGAGCTGACCTGACCTCTTTATAAGCCAATATGTCTGAGCTGAGTATGTTCTAATAAACCTTTCTGATTTTTCTCAAGGCCCTAGTCTCTGCTGTGTCCCGTCCTCACCACCCCCACCCCCATCCCTGCACAGCACTGGGGTCAACAAAGCCAGTCTGGCCATCCCTATGCGGCCCTCCAAGTTTCCCCCCTGACTCGTGCATTTCCTTGGGTCACCATGCATGGGGAAGGGAAAGCATGCACCAGAATGCTGCCCCTACCTGACCTTTGGGAGGCCGCCCCACCTGTCCCTGCCCAGAGCATGTGCTTGCTTCTAGAGAATCAGATTCCCATCCTCTGTGTGAGGAGCATCATTGGGTGCCCTGAAAACTTGGAGAAGTGGGGAGGGGTGGGAGAGAAAGAAGCTAGGACCTGGGGTGGGGGTGGTGCAGTTGCATGTAGAACCCAGCATTGTGAAAACACAGAAATCTCCAAACATCTTGGGCCAGTCCAGTGAAAAACGACAGCATTACACATTCTCGTGCCAGGAAATGGTGGCTCACCCCCGTTCTCTGGAGTCCTTTGGAGCTCTCTGATCTCACCTGGGTCTGCAAGAGCCCTCCCTTGCAGAAGGGAGCAAGTCACATGACCATTTTCTCTCTCAATTCTTGGTGGTCCCGGCGTGTAAGGTGAGCACTGCATGAAAGGCCACAAGTGGGAAGTGATGTTTTGCCACCAGGAAAATGGGACCAGCTTTGAGCCACCAGAAACCTCACTTAAATGAGACCTTTACTTCTTTTCTCTTTTTAAATCTCTGATACGTAATTGCGCTTCTGGGTTTTGCTTTATTTTGGCTTTAAGTTCAAGAGTGGGTGGAAAGCCCTTCCAATGGGGTGAAGGTGGGAGCCAAGGGAGAGGGCAGAGCCTGTTATTTTTCTAATGACTTCACCTGAAGGGTACAAAGAGACATCTTTCCCAAGAGACTGGCCACCAGCTTCCCCCACGGAGCAATTTAAATGCAAAATCAAATGGCACCTCTGTTTAAGATCTATTTATGTAAACATGGCTTGTCGGTCGTTGGGGGGAGGAAATGACCTGGAAGGAGAGCATCTGTGATCAAAATATCTAATTGTAAGCACAAATCTTTCCCATGTCCGGTTGTTAAAACTCACTTTGGGACTATAACAGCCACTTTTGTCTCCCCTTTTAGTAGAAAATGGTGATTCTATTCCTGTATTGCCCTGCTGGAGATGTAGGGTGGGAAATGAGAGAATCACCCGGGAGAATGGACAGCCTGGGGTGTTCTCTGCATCTCGAGGGTTTCAGATCGGGCTGTTGAAAGCTGGGCATCTGGTACTTTCAGCACGGAGTCTGTCAGGGCCACTGAGAACCACCACGTTGGGGTGGCCTTCTGTCTTCTACATTGGCCAAGGCTGAGTCAGGTCCCAAGAGGAAAGGGAGCATTGTGGCTTTTATAATCCAATGATGCGATGATTATACCAGCTTACAGGAGTTCTCAGCAGGTGCTTTTTGTTAATTGATAAAGAGCTAAGGCTCGTTTTTGATAGATAATATATATTTATTAAATGTATTAATGTATGTTTTATAATGTATCTTTATCCTCCCCTGGCTGACTGTTGCATACTTAAAAAAGAAACTGTTAAGGAAATTTCAAGACAATCAATATGTACCATAAATGGCTGTATATAAATGTCACAAATTTAAAAGGTTGTAAAGCATGGGCAGATAGGTTTTATTTTCAAAATGCTGTTCTTAACACAAAAATAAAGGCTTTACTATTTACTTAAGACGTGTGGTAGCTTGTCAAAAACCACCCAATACAATAAGTAGGCTTTCAGATCCGCCCGGAGGTGAAGTCTGGGGCGTTTGAATGTGAGAATCCTAGTAACAGCCACCTGCCAAACAAATGCCCACGAAGTGAGAAACTTCCTGTGATATTCTGGGGTTTTGACAACAAAAATCCTTAGTCTGTTATTGTCATCTGGGTTTAAGTGTGTCTCATCTTGTTGGGTTTGCAGTCAAAGGGAAGGGTCAATTTCATTTGGGAACAATCACAGGCAGTAATGCCTCAAGAGTACTCACAGATGAAGTTAAAACCCACTGCAAAGACTTGGGGCTTAAATTTAAATGTGTATCTTTGCAAAGACAGCCAAAAGTGGGAATCTGGTACCTCAAACACTTCAACATCCCTTGGAACTAGAGTTCATTGTATATTTGAATGGAGGTTGGGTAGACAATACTCCTGAAGTACTGGAGAAATACACGGATGAAAATAAAATTTGAGGATCATGCAGAAAGCTAAGACCTTCTCATGATAAACTGTTTGCACGAAAGCTGGTTTGCAATAAATCCTCTTATGCCCAAAAGATCCCATATTCACATGTATCAAGCCTGGTGGTTAAATAACAATAGAGGAAGCATGATTTGGACATTTTCCTCCAGTGGCGTCAGTGGAGCTCAGAAGGGAAGAGAGAGTAACAGGGGTTAAGGTAGTGAAGCCTTGGCTGTAGCCTCCTTATCATCCTCCATTTTGCATTTCACTGCAAAGAAATGAGAGAGAAAGTCAGGATCAATTTGCAGACCTAGACGACCTGTCATTTTAGAAGCCACAAATTCTGATGCATGCATGGAGGTCAGCCACACCAAAACCCACTGAGCGCTAACAATCGTTCTGGCCCCGTGGACCTGCTGGGGAAGAACCCAGGGCCACGTTCTCCAAGGACAGCACCTGAAATCTCAAAACCACATAATGTTCATGGCCATTCTTTTCTGTTTTTTCCAGTTTATTAAAAAACAATTGGCATACATCACTATAAGTTTAGGGTATACACCATGGTGGTCTAATTAGCATGTATTGGGAAATTATTACCACAGTAGGTTCAGCTAACATCCATCTTCTTATGTAGATAACAATTAAAAGGAAGAAGAAAAGGAAAAAAGATTTCTCCTTGTGATGAGAACTCTGAGGACTGACCCTCTGAACAGCTTTCCTATATATGCTGCACAGCAGGGTTAGCTACAGCCCTCATGGTGCACATTACATCCCTATTACTTTTTTGTCTTCTAACTGGAGTGTGTACCTCTGACCACCTTCCACCACCCCACTCCCCCTCCTCTGCCTCTGAGACCCACAGGTCTGATCCCTTTCTGAGTGGAGGTTTTTGCCTTTTGTTTTTTTTCAGATTCCACATAGAAGATCATGCAGTACTTGACTTTCTCTGTCTGACTTATTTCACTTAACATAATGCCTTCAAAGTCCGTCATGGCCGTCCATAATTCAGTTCAGGTCGAAAGTGTGCACTGCAGTCAAGAGAGGTGAGGTTTTACTAAAGATGACAGATTCCATGCTTTTGACTCAGCTGCCTGTCACCGCTCACCTTGTTCTCCAAATTAAAAACTCAGGGTAATACTGAGGTCAGTGCAAGAGCAGAAGAGAATCTTTCCTGGTCTTTCACAGTTTGGACAGGAATGTGATCCAGGTGACTTTCTGCATCAGCCAAACAGGAAAGTTAGCTAAGCACAGGGCGTGGTACTATTTGTAAAGGAAATTGTCCCAAAAGATTAAAAAAACCCTCCCCTGAAAACAGAGAAACCAGTCCCCTGGGGGGATGTGGAATCATTTTAGAAAGACCTCCTTTTTGGTTCTAGTGTGCTCGTGCTGGATGTTAATGCCTAAAAGGTTATTCTGAGCCAGGTCGTGGGCCCTGGTGGCTTGCGGAGAGCCATTGTTAGAAACTTTTGGCCATTGTTGCCAGGTAGGGCAGAGGATTCCATTGGGCCTGCATCCTGGTCCTGACCGCCCCTTGACTAGGGGCACATGCTGGCCAGGCCCAACCAGGGGAGGTGTGGACACCATCACTGCATGGTAGGTTTTGCCCACAGAAGCAGGCTGAAGGCTTTCAGCACAGGCCACGCCGGCAATCTTCAAACTGGAGCCACACCAAGACTTTACAAGGATTCTCGGCCACAGCTCATTACCAGAAAGTCAGGCTCCAAATCTTCCACTTCCATGTCTGGACTTGGCAGTTGGTGGGGTTTATATCTCTGCCCATCTCCTACCTATCCCCCTCCCAGCATTGTCCATTGTGTAAAACATCCCCAGGGGCAATTTGAAGTGTTGGTGCCCTGCCCCTCCCCCGCCAGTTTCCCTTCCTTTCAATGTTTATTAACTATCAAAATGCATCATGTATTTGGCTTTGTGAACTACTGAAAGTTGCATTAGTAACTCAAACCAGAAAAAAAAATTTTTAATACTTGGAAGCTGTGGTCACTGGAAATTAAAAAAATTTTTTTCAACGTTGTACCTTTTTGTTTCATACATACACACACACACACACACATATATATATATATATACACATATGGAAGCTTGATAGGCAGCCATGGGGAATACCCCTATATAAGCAGCTAGACCCTACTGATGATGACAGTGGTAGGTCCTTCATAGCCGAATATGTTTCCCATTTTGGTAGGTTCTCCCCCAGTATCCCACTGATCCATGATGTGACCCAGGATGTGAGTGTTCAGCAATTGACTGGTGGTGGCAGAATCCTGATTTGTATCAATTTCCATAGTTAATTTCAAGCTACCAATGTGACCACAGAATAGAGTTGGGAAAAGGCTCTCACAACCAGATGGGAGTGCCAAGCACAGGGCTGCTGTGGGTCCCCAGAGTTAGGAATGCAGGGAGACCTCCTGCTGTGGGTGCAGGACGAACAACATTTGCATCACTAGGAACCTGTTAGAAACACAAGCCCAGGAGCTTCCATCCAAGACCTACAGAATCAGAAACTGGGGCTGGAGCCCAGCCAACTGTTTTTAACAAGCCACCCAAGTGATTCTGAAGGACATTAACGTTTGTGACCCACTGACCACTGGTTCTCTACCCTGGCTGCAATCTAAGAATCACCTGGGCAGCTTCTGACGTCTGTTGGTGCCTGGGTCTCACCCCAGACATTCTGAATGTAATTGGCCTGAGGCCTGGGCATCAGCATTTATTCACAGCTCCCCTATGTTGCTGATGTTCAGGCAGGGTTGAGAAGCCCAAGCTGCGGTTAGAGTCCTTTTGAAGAACCATGGCCATAAAGACCCTCAGTGCAGTTCAGAGGAGTCAAGACATCCCTTCAACATCTCAAAATTTAAGCTGTTTGAATGACCTCTCTGGCCTCCAATTAGCAGGCAGATGCTCAAGGCCACGGACAGAAGGAAGGATAGGCTTCTGGAAGAATCCCCAATCCTTGGATTTTCTTAGTTCCTCAACCCTGCATGAAGGAAGAATTCCCCTGTGTGCATTTGTCCCGGCCTTTTAGCCAATTCCTGTCCTGTCCTGATAACCTCACTTAGCCAGCCCTACACTTTGACCTTGTCTGGGAAAAAGCCCTTATGTCTTTCAGGTTACACAAAAGTCCTGACTGAGGAAGGAGAGTTTGGGGTGCTATGAACACTCCTTCGAACTGAAGAGTAAGAATACCATCTCCTGGAAACAAAGGTGGATGTGGAGCCTCGTGGTGGGATGACTCGGGGATCTTTGAGCACTCCCAGTGCCCCGCCTCACACTAGCCAATCATGTCAGACTCTCTGGCAGGGGGGACTGTCCCCTGGAGCAACTACCCTGGAAAACTGGCTCAAGTGAAACTGAGCACGTACGTTCTCTGCAGCACAGCCGTCCCATTCCTGCGCCCGTATCCTGGAGGAATCCTTGCACATGTACTGGCAAACATCAATCAGGATGTTCATAAGAGCAGAATACTGCAAACCACCCCATGTCCATCAACAGCGATGGGATAAATAAATCATGGTCAGCTTGAACGGGGAGTATGCAGCTGTGAACACAAATGAACCACAGGTACACAGGTTAGATTAGTTTACCAGTGTTGGAGGAAAAGTAGAGTATATTGTGATTCTATGTATAGCAAACCTAAGTGCTCAGGGGTGCATATAAAGATGAGACTAACTCTCAAGAGGGGAAAGGGAATAATTATCACAAAAGTTATAGTAAGTGGCTCCACTTGGGGTGGGGAGCAAGCTTTAAAAGTGTTGCCAGTGTTCTATTTCCTTAACTGGGATGGTGCTTACATGAGTGTTTGCTTTACAGATCTATGTACTGGATAGTCACTACAGTATGTGTATGTCACCACCATCACCCCCCCACCCCACAAAAAGGTAAAAAGAAATAAAGATGGTAGTGTTTTACTTGAAATTACAAAGTCAACCAACAAAGGAACAGGAAAGAGCCATTTCACCATTTTGGGAGGGTGGGAATGGGTGTGAATCAGTCCTCATCTGCCATAGCAGGAAGTAAGGAGAATGCTACCATCTGTTAGAGGTACAGAAGTCACTACCCAGAGAAACAGCTAAGAGCTCAAATTGATTGCCATGAAAGGGATGACACAGACAATGCTTGTTCCATCTTCCTGTTCTGTCCTGTATTTTTTTTTAAGTGTTCTTTTTTAAAATTATTAAGTTATCATTGATATACACTCTTATGAAGGTTTCACAAGTAAAACAATGTGGTTACTACATTCACCCTTATTATCGAGTCCCCCCCCATGCCCCATTGCAGTCACTGCCCATCAGCGTAGTAAGATGCCACAGAATCACTACTTGTCTTTTCTGTGCTACACTGTCTTCCCTATGTCTGACCTGTATCTTTTTAACATGGGAGCCATGTGCAAGGATTCTTTGCTAAAAATTAAACAGATAGAGTCTCTCCCTAGTAGTGTTCCTCTTCCTGGTCCTGGCAGAAGAGAGGCTTGCACAGGTAGGTGCTCAGTAAAAGGAGGGGCTGCATGGGAAGAGCAGGCAGGGATGGTGAATGACAGAACCCTGCTTTCACCTTAGTTTAGAGCCGTGTCGTGGTTGGCTTCCAACACCAACAGACAGATGCCTCTGTGTCCCTGTGCCGTCCTTGTCCCCCTTGGCAGGCTGGGGCTCAGCCAGTTCCGGAAGGGCTGGGAGAGCGGAAAATCCCGGAGAGATGCGCCAGCCCTTCAGCTTCAATTAAAGGCAATGTGACAAGAAAGGCCTTGCATGCTAATAAGACTCATGGTCTCTTCGTCTTGGTCTTCCGCATCCTCTCCTATTCCAGTTAGTAATAGGGCTGAGAACTCTGGACAGTTGGAGAAGCTGCCTAAGGCTCGAGACGTAGGAAATTCAGGACAGAGGGTCATCCAGCCACTCATTTGGGTTGCCTAGACATGGTCTCAGCAGAAAGGATCACCTGGGGCAAAAATATAGATTCCCAGGCCCACCCAGCCCTTTGGAAACAGAATCTCCAGGAGCGAGGCCTGGGAATCAGCATGCCCCCACCCTCGCTCTGGGCTTTGAGTGATCCTTTGGATGCTACAGGTTTGGGAAGGGGTGCCTGCTCCCTGAAGGCCCAGGTCTGAGGATGGCACGTGCCTCCTAAGGGTGCTGGCAGGAGCAAACAAGGCCGGGCAGCCCAAGTGCTTAGGCCTGAGTCTCATCCAAAGTTAAGCACTCAGTATATATTACCTATTATTATTTTAAGACATACTCTTTGACCTTAAGGAACTCATAG